CAGAGGAATAGAGGGATGGGACTGCATGTACTCTCAGGTCCTTGTTCTTTCAAAAGAAAGAACAAAAATGTATCTGGATTAACAATTAATAAAAGGGAAGTTGCCAACACACTCATACATATAGTAAATACTGTAATAATAAATAATAAATAACTGTATTATGTATAAATGGCCACAAGATCAGTGTCTAAAGTTTTCTATTGTTTGTTTCAATTCATTTTATTTAATAAAATAATAATAATAAGTAAACTGGTTCTTAATTATTATTTAATTTAAATTTAAATATACAATTGTATATATACTATGTGTATATACATAGTATATATACATTATACATTTCTTGACCAGAAAGGTAACACATAACAGCTATTACATATTTGTAATGAACTAAAAGTAAAATATTTCTCCCTGAATTGTGGAGTAAAAAGTGACTGTAATTAAATACAGTGTATGTACTTTCCCATATCAATTACAGAATTGTATATCTTGATACAAATATCCAAATACTGCCTGTGTAAGTCCACACCAAGTCCACATATTGTAGCTTTTTCCTTTCTGTGGTCCCATGTAGAGGATCATTTTACACCGATCACAGATACTTTATCAGCTCACAAACTGGCAAAACGCTGCATAGAAATCCAACCTCCATGCCGTGACGAGCGCCAGGGAAACATTTCTATCATCTCCGTGCCCAGGAAGAAGTCCATGTCTTGACTTTGTCAACTCACCTCGTGGAGCCTGGTTCAGAGGCTCACTGAACACATGCTCCTGGCGTGCAGCCTGCAGAGGGATCCCTGTATATCATTCTCTATGAAACGTTTCATCATCCGTCATTTCTCGATGTTGAACACATGCGTTTTAGTTGTACTTTTTTCTTCCTTTTTTTTTTTTTTACAGAAAGCATGCTGCACAGGCTACTCTGGACTAGTGTGGAGGAAAATCTGGCACTTTGTTCTTTCCATATGCCCCGTTTCAGTGGTGTTGGGGCCAGTGCACGTCTTTGCGTTTTGTTCATCAGGGGACAGATGTTATAATCATTACAAGGCTGTAGTGAAATGTCCCGCAGAGCACGTACGTGTGTCTAATGGGGAACGTCAAAAGGTGCTCTGCCTTTTCTCACCACGCTCCAGAGAGGACAGTTCAACACTCGCGGAACATGCCGAGGCAGTCCAAACCAGAATGGGAAGATTATCAGCCGAGAGGTGAGCGCTCCATTTCATTCATACTACATATTACACAGTGACAAACTATGCAAAATAACGCAACATAAGCATGAAAACCCACTCCGAAGAAAACAAATAGATGTATGAGGTAACCGTTTCATTTACCAAAAGACTCCATAACCATTAGCACATGTTCACTGTAAATAACAGGACTTTATGAAAAGTCTGTATAGCAACAGCATCTTATCAATTCTCTTTATGAATCATATAATCAGCCTTAGTTTTTAATCAAGAAACACAAGACTAACATTAGGGAGCTGTACATTGTCTTAGACACATTGGAATTTTAAAAAATTGTCAAACTTACTAGTTTTACTGATTGCGTTGTGCAAAAAACATTGAGTCTTCATTCAGACCGACCACCTTTCCCTTCATAATGACAATAGCTAAGTTTTAAAACTACCAGTCGAATCATCCATTAGTCATGTGTCCCATCCAGATGTCGGGTGGAGGAAAGGAGGGGAGGAGAAAGCAGCAGGTGTAGATCTTTCTGAGCCCAGCTGAGCTCTAAAAGGCAGCGCTTAGCACCCACAGCTCCGTCATCTGGCCTCTCCCCTGTCTCCGCCAGCCTTTCGACAGCCCATTCCTCATCATTTACCCCTTTTTGGCAAAGCCCAGAGCCCTTCTAATGGGCTGCTCTGAATGCTTCCAGATGTTTGTTTATTTGTTGTGCAGCAACTATAAAACAGTTTACTCTTAGTTTGGATCTGTTCCCGCTGCTCCAATTTCTTTTTTTTGGAGGGTGGGGAGGGGGGGGGTGGGCGGGCGGGGGCAAAGGGGAATGTAGCAGGGTTTTCTGTGCGGATCACCCCAAACAAGTAATGAAAGCAAAACAACGAAAAAAATGAAAAATGTGAGACAACCCATGAGCGTCGTCGGAAATATCTCCTTTTTTTTTGCTTCGGTGGCAGCTTTCCTCCGGGGACTTTAATAACAGTTGTGCACCGTTTAAGACACATGCATGCAAAGTAGCTGGAAGCGGGCCCGGAACACCAAGATTAAAAGGGCCCAGGGCTCAAACTAAGGCAAACTTCAGGCATTTTTGCTCATCTGTTTCCTCGCACAAATGTATCCCTTTCATTTACCGCCGTCGGGGCTGAGGGACGGCCTCCTCAAACTTAAACTGACATCTGTAAACAAATGTAGTAAACAGTGCTTAGTATATTTATTGAACTATACAGAAATGAATGGTATTTCATTAAAATCTCATATGTGTACATGGATATCAATCAAGTCTAGAGCGCCTTCTCTCATAGTTCCAAACGACAGTTGCAATCAGATCTGTGAAATAAACTTTTGAATCCTGGAAAAACACGACATGCTGGTGATAAAGAAAAAAGCAGCACGATGTTTACATTCCATTGGCTGTGGCCTAATCCTACGGTACAGGCCGGTCTTCAAGAAGACCCACTTTAGGCTGGGACCATTTATGACTACTAGATTTAGAGCCGAGCTGACAGTTGGACCGGCACTAAGACTCAGAGCCAAGGTGACAGTGGTGGAGGATCCTCAGGCCCCTCCTGCCAGACTATATACGCCACTGCTCTCCGCGTCACGCCTTCCCCGAGACACGCTGCAGCCCCCGTAGTCCTCCTTCACTTTGTCTTTTGTCTACCTCTCTCTCATTTTTATTTCCTGTCTTTTTTTTCCTTTTTTTTCCTCACATTTAACACTAGTCCTGTCATTGTCTCTTCCCCTCTACTTCTTCTTCCCTACGCTCTGTCGATTTCTTGCCAGATCTGGTCTGTGGAATCTCGATATAGATTTCACTACCACAAAAGCACCCACTTCCACTTCCATCCCTCCTCTCCTCCCTCTCCGCCTCGTTTTGCTCCGTCTCCTGCAGGTCGACTCCTCCACCGGCCGAGATAAGAGCTTATCCTGGGCTTCTGTCCTTGGCTTCCACCCCTCCTTCTCTGGGCATTGACCTGCTGGCGCTGCCCTCCTCCTCCGGGAGCTCCTACTTGCTGTAATTACCTCTGGCACTCGGGCTCTCGGGCTTCCACACAGGTGACACAGTGGAGGGGGCGAGGGTTGATAGGAGGAAAAGGGAGGTACTTTCCGAGCAGCCGACAGGGCGATGTCAGAAGAGCTTCTGATCCGCCTGCTACTGCAGCAGCAGAGAGGAAAACTACACACAACCGTTGTACCCCCACTAAAAAAAGGCCACTTAGAAAAAAAAAATACAGCCCCATCACAAAGCTGGGAAAGATTTCCACTGCTTAATAAGGATGTAATGATTCCTCGTCCACGTTCACCGTCTATTTGCTTCTAAATCTCAGAATGTTACGATTCAATATGATATCATTGCATCATAAAGGCCTTTCGTCTCATGGTTTCTCATGCACGTACAAAAACAGAACAAACATCCCATACTAAAAAGATGTGACCACCTCAAGCGCATACAAAAAAACCTCTGGTATGATTAGGAATTGTAAATAAAAGGGAACCATAAGGACGAGGTGAAGGGCGAAAATGAGGGCTGTGTTATCGGAGGCTGCAGCACTGCATCGTAAAAATAACAAATGGAGACTGTCGCTGCTTCGCAGATCTTAGACGAAGGGGAAAATATTTCATGTCAGTTCCTCTCACCTTTAAATGGACTGTTCTTAGCCAGGTCTGATTTTGACAAAGCACCGGGCCCTTCCTGTCCTTATATCCGGTGAGAGCTGCCACCATTCGCGCTTTCGTAACATAGATCTGCCCTTGGCACCATCAACGAGGGGAAGAGATTCTCATTGTAGACTTGCTGCGCTACCGCACCGGTGGTCGACCCATTGCAGGTGTTTTGCATCGGAAGACAGTGATGAATGTCTCACGCACGAAAAATGACCTGATGAAAAAAACGGCTGAATCTGGGTATACTGTTTTTCTTTACTCCACACACGTGGCTTTGCTGCTCAGAATAACCGGAGTGTGATTAACTGTAAAGTGCACATTGAGAATATTTAATAATAATTAATAATTCTTGTTTTGCAATAATTATGTTAAACTCGTCCTTTTAGTTATATACTAACTGCTTTTAGCTACTTTTAGAGTGTGTTGACACCTAGGATTATAAATGATCTATATTAAATTATAATTCTTACGACGGTCAAGATGTTATTTTTGGTAATGCAATGATACAAACTTATTAAATGCTGGACTTGCAGCTGATTTAAGTCTAAGGATTCAATCAAAACAAATAAGACTTTTTATATATTGTGATTTATGGGTATAAAATAATAAAATGGAGGACCAAGGTTTTGTACATTAACCTCAGAAAGAGAATCTGCTCCGAACGCAGTCGGTTACCTGCACAATTATTTTCAAAAACTGCAATGCATTATTCTCAGAGTGCAGCGTTAGATGCTAAGGAGTTGCTACATAATTACATCAACTGACTACAGCGGGTCAACACGAGGCCGAATCAATGTCTGCTATGAACAGATCAAGGAAACTCGTGTCTGTGTGCCGTGTGCTTCTAGCGTAGATTCAGAACTGCGGCCACCTACATTGCTCGGATTTATTCCCGCTATCAACACATCACAGGGATGAGATGAGATCAATAAGAATAGATAACATAACTTCAACGCAGTCTCAAGGCCAGCACAGTCCCACTCCCTGAAGCAGTTTGGAGGTATGATGCATATTTGTATAATCCGGTGGTTCACGTTTTGATTGGATGAATGATAATGTGCTGTGTCACTTCTGGTTTACTTTAAAGAACTGATCTGAACGGATGCGTGTATGAAGCGCCTAAATGAAAAGGTTATGAAGTATTTCTTATTCCCTTACCTTTGTGGTTCTTGGCATCTCTGGATCCTCGGGGCAGAGGAGTGTAGGGCAGTGGTTGACTTTCAGATCTAGTCTCCTTAGGTGGCTAGGAGTTAGGAGACAAACAAAAGGAATGAATATTTAGAAGAATAAAAGGTTGTTACTGTGGCCAAATGCGAGTGTCAAAACTCCTTTGGAATTGGAACAGGAAAGGTTAAAAAAAGACTTCACCTGTTACATAACGTGGCAGGTCATGTTTTATTACTTCTCACATTATGTGGACTTTCACTCCTGTCTTTGATGATCTGATCTACGACCCGGTTAAGGGAGGGGAGGTCTTAACCTTCCCTCCGCCATAACCTCCAGGCTCGAGTCAACTAAAGGCTAGACGTCACTCAGCAGTGAAAGGCATCCCGCTAAGGTAGTCCTCTCTGCAGAGGCACGTATTTAATGACACATCACTGAGAGGTGAGATGAATATGTGTATAGATTCCTGCCAGCGCAACAAGAAAAATCCATAGATGCAAGTGTTGCTACGAGACAAAGAGAAAAGAGAGGCCTGAATCGGTGTTGTTCCCGAACAGGTCAAGAGTTTCTAGTGTTGTTGCTCTTTCATACACTTTCAAGGTCCAAAACATCCTCCTTCCCCCCTTAGCCTTTTGGCTGGTGGAGCAGGCAGGCAGTTTATCACCACACAGCGATATCCGATGCCTTTGCAGAAATACTTTCCTTTTCTGCAGGAAGGAATTCACTCGGTCTTTAATCATAGCAAGGGACTCAACTGACAAATACATATTAGGGACGGTTCGGAGCTGCATTTTTCCCCACTTTTATTGTTGTTCCTCTGCATGCCCATGCATAACCTTGAGAAATGGAACGGTCTGCACTGTTAAATGGAAGCATATTCTTCATGTGCAAAGGGAGCACTGTGGATTGAAAACGATCACATAATGTGCTTTCAGATAGCATCTCTGAAAGGCATTAGAGCCGGCCGGCACGTGTGTCACATTACACCAAAGAGAAGAATGGCAAAATGAGCTTATTCTGAGACCTTACACGAGGCAGGCAGGCTGTGCTTTTGAAAGAAACAGCTGGAGATAGAAATATTGTTTTGACGGCCGACCTGCTGCCTCCGGAGAGGCTGAAACCCCTTTAGAAATATCGCAGGTCACTCCCTGCTGTACACTGTTCTCGTATGGAGTGCGTAAGGCAAGAATTAAACAAGAACATACGCTCAGTAAAAAACCCGCACACCATTTCTGAAAAAAATGCATGTGTTTTTTTAAGGCAGCACCAACAAAAATTATATTGAAATACCACTACAAATAAACCTCTTTTTTTCCCCTGAAGTTGCAAAATGCACAGCTGTCTACGATAAATATGAGCTAACGGAACCGATCAACCGTTAAGACTTTTGTAGCCCCCTCTATTCGATGCACCTCCGTGCTCCTCTGCCCGCCTCATTTCCTGGCCTGCTTGAAAGATCACAAGCCCGGGCCTCTTCTGTCCTGCTTGGCCCCCCAAACGCCCCTTCTAATCCTCCTGTTTGCTCATAATTAATCTTTCTAGTTGCCACGTTATTAACAGCACCACCCACCGACTATGTTAGAGGGGGGGGGGGCAAGGAGTTCTGCTGGGGTTAGCTGGATGCCGAACAAAGCCTACGGTTGCTTTTGGTCCTATGGGGCTTCAGTCGCTTGTTTTGGATATGACCACCCAGCCGGTGCCCGTGCTGTCCATGACACCCCCATTTCACCTCGCCGGTATTTCGCCTGCTGATCGAACAGCCAGTCCATTCAACATCTGTGGCTGTCACTTCCTGTCCTATCCAGACCAACAGTGATAACAATTATCAGCCAGTTTCCTCATGTCCCGATCCTCCCTTTTCTCCTCTCAGACCGGCCTCCCTCCGCCTCCACATCTGCACTCTTTCATTTTTGTCAACAGCCTGTCCAGAGGAAGAGAAGCACCAATGGTTGTGATGACAAAGCACGTGCAACAGTGGAGGAGGATTTTTTTTTCTTGTACTTGCTTTAAAGGGAATCGATGAATTGATGTCGGAGAAAGTATCAATACATTATACAGTTAACATCCAAAGGGACTTCATAGATGGACTATAAAACTAGTCTTTGCAAACCAATGTGATGTTGTTCACATTTTTTTTATAATAAATGAAAAGTATTACACTGTTTTTACTGTGTAAAAATACAAAATTAACATAATTATGATTCACATGTAGTTCTGAGCTCTAAACCAGAGCTGCATCTACGCTCTTAGTCTCCTTATCCCCCCTTTCCTGTTACCCTGTTGTTCTCTCCCTTTCTCCCCCTCTGGTTTCCTTAAGTTCTACCTACACTGAACAGAGGGAGGTGCTGCTGTGTCGTGTATTTAAGATGCTCCCGGAGCCCTTTTTTTCCCTCTCTCCTTGTCTCTCGCTGCCTCTCTGCTGTCCAGATTAGTCTGCTCATCAAGCTGAGCATTGTTTTAATTTGCCGGGCCCGGGGCATATGCTGAGTGTTCACATCATTATTGTCTCTGTGCAATGTGAGTTATCGCCACAGCTTATCATAATGCGCCACAAATTTGCAGGCCGGGGAGCACCATGGATTCTGAGATAATAAAGGCTGGACGGGGGGGAGCGGAAATAAGGAGAGAGAAATGTAGGAAGTGTGTGTACGTGTGTGTTAAAGAGAAAAGGGCGGCGGCGGCGGGGACAGGAATCTCTGTTGGATGTCATTATGAAAGATGATTCCCGTGCTGGATAATACATCACACCGATGCTGTCTGTCGTCTCCCTTTCTGTGTTGTTATGCGAATAAATGGCGATAAACCCAGAGGCAATAGTGATTATTACTTCCAACAAATCACCACGAGAGAGGAAGAAGGAGACGGGGGAGGGAGGGAGGGGAATATCCAAGAAAAGCAAAACACAAAGAGGGGCCACACAGAGCTCCTAACCACCTCCTCGGCGGGGTTTCTGATGACACGAGACACCAAAAAGTGAGTCGGGGAAGGTTGACGCACAATGAGGTGTTTTTCAGATGCAACTGCGACTGAGTTTACAAAGTTTGTGCCGGCTGTGCTGTTCGATTCCAAATCTTGATCTGCCGTGATGTTACAGAACACCACGATGGTACACAACCGGCTGAAACACATTCTCCCTAGAATTACTTATGGCATCCTTGGCTGCCGCAGTGTAGCGTGTAACGCGCCGCTTTCCCTTCCCCCCCCCAGCTCCGAGGTCGCGCCGCGACCAGCTCATCCCGACACAGGTGGTTCCCGACTCGCCTCACCTCACCTCCCTCTTTAGGACCGACCAGCAATACAATCTAATTACAGCCGCGCTACAGAGGGAGACCAGTGTAAACACCAGACCTTTTTTTTTTTTTTTTAGTTTTTTTTTTTTTTTATCTCCTTATACATCTGGACAAGTAGACAAAGTGCTAAAAGGAAATAAATGTGGCCTGACAGCCACATCAAAGAGTTCAGCCAGAGGCTTAATGCTACTTAGGGCACAGGAATGTTGTTGCTAAGCATCAGCCCGCAACCTATCAGGGTGCAAAGAGGGCCCTGTCCTGCCTGGAGAGGGAGAAGGGGAGAAGAAGAGAGAGAAACCAAGAGGAGTGAGAGAGAGAGGGGGGGAGGGAGGGAGGGGAGGGAAGAGGGGCTGACATTGAGGGGAGGCTAGGGACTCAAGGAGATTTTTGTAGCTTAAAGCAATTGTTGGAAGAAACAAGCCTTCTGTTTTGTTTTCTCTTGACACCATTTCTGCTTTTTTTTGTGCGTGCAAAAGACATGTATAAAAATGTCTTTTGATATGTTTTCTCTTTTGGTCTGTATCAAAATATTTCTTTTGTGTCGGTGCATGGAACTTTTTTAACATCTTGTCTCTGTAAACTGGTGCTGCTTTCTGATCGTGTTAGAGATCAGAGGAGACACAACTTGTGAACTTATTTGAGTCAACATTTAATGCTGGCATGACACGTTTATTTCTTCACAGGATATAATTCTTTTGTGATCCATGTATCACAAAGAACACTTTTAGAAATAAACAAGGAAGAAGTGAACAAGTAGCACCAGCTCGCAATGCTTGGAGGATGTAAGAGCAATGATGAAATGAGGAATTCTCAAATTCACTACAAAAAATGTAATTTATCCCCAATATATAAATGTACACAATTGTGTGCATAATATGCCTTTTTTCAAAAGCCTAAAACAGAAACTATTATTGTTTAACATCATTGTACCAGTAGAACAAAGCTTGTGTTGGTCAAGATGACATTTTATAAAAATATGATTTTAATAATCTTCTCTTCTCTCTTTTTCATGAGAAGGGAAAATCAAGTACAGTATGATTATAATTGCTGTTCTTAGGTAATGGCAGGGGGAAGAACAGTTGATGTAATGGTGTTCGGGCTTGTGGGTAGTGCAGCAGTCTTTGGCTCAGAGGGAAGACTGCTGAGCATGTGTTTAATGATTTACCGGTTCTTCTCCAATGAACTCGCTCTGAGCAAATGTATCATATGATCGCTGATCACAAGAGCAACTGTTTCCCTCGCAGCACGGGGCGCGCGGAGCCAACCGGCAACGGGGAGCGTAGCCGTTTTGTGTAAGGCTAAGTGTCAGGCAGGCAAAGGTTGAGTGCTGCTGGACGTTAATCATCCACAACGATGACTCATAGATGGTAATAAGGCTGTATTTGTTTTTAGCTTGAAATGTAGGAATCCGTTCGACCTTTACTCGGAGTGTCTTGCAGAATAAGTGAAAGTGATTTAAGGCAGAAACGTAGGCCTGCATTACAGGTATGCAGTACAATTAGCTTGAGGCTATTTCTTATTTTGGTCTAGTTTGACCTTTGCGTTGGCTCAGATTATGCTGCTGCAATATTACACAGGGAAAAAATAATGACTAAATGCTGTATGTATTATAAATATATTAGTTAAAACAATGATTAAGTGTCTCACTCAAACTTTTGAAGAAAACTGATTGTTTCATATATTTCTGAGGTAAGAAAACATTTTTTAAACAGACAAAAGGAAGATGCAAATGTTCTGATCTACTGATGACAAAAAAAAATCCTCTTTGTCAGAGTTTTGCCTTATTTGA